GAATATGTGTGTCATATAAGCTATAGTTTAAGAGAGGCATTAGATTTGGGAATGATTCCAGGTTAATTTTGGTAATTGTAAAGCTAAGTATTCTATTTGCATTAATTTAATCTATTTTCAAATCTTACTGTCAGCTCCTTGCTTTAATATAACAAAACGTTTAATGTGATTGCTCTCAAGCATATAATTGAAAGGTTATTGACTGAGTATTGAAAAATTATTTTGAGTAGGATGGCCTCGCAAGATCGAGCATCCTTTACCACATGCACTAGTGACCAATATTTTCCATTAATTAATCAAAACTCTGTAGGTACTGAAAGATTTGAAAATCGATTAAATTAATGCAAATAGAATACTTAGCTTTACAATTATCAAAATTAATCAGGCTTCTTGGAATGTGTTACATTAGGGCATAATCAAGGTATATTTTAAAATCTGAATTAAAATCTTAATTATTTCCTCTATCACACAACCAGAAAACCCCACAATTTCTTCCCGAGTTAAAATCTCCATGCTGGTACAAGGGATCAACCTTGAGATGCTTGCCATATTTCCAGCTGATAGGGGTCAACAAATGTGCTACCACGGATCTGTATCGGAGACTTCAGTTGCACCCGCAAGTAGTCTGGCGTGAGCGAAAGGAACTCATGTGGTGGTCACGTGAGCGATATGGAATATATAGTAAGTTGAACATATGGCTAATGGATCAATTAATTTCCTTATTTCAAAGTAAAAGCAAAATGAAAAGCATAATTTAATTTATTTGCTTGAGGCGTAAACGGGGGGGGCAAGGATAGGGATGCTCTCTTTGCTCATGAGTAACAGATTAGCAACCATATCTATAATGAGAAACCATTTTCAATATAATTAAATAAAAAACATCAGGGGGAAATGATAGACGTTTAAGTTCAACTTCATTACGTTGCCAAAAATTATGTGCATATTTTATTAATGTGATCAGTTAGTATGCGAGGTAAATGAATAAAATAAAATACTGACTCAAATGATGTAGCAATCTAGACAGCACTTTTCTTAAATATAAATAATCATACATTTATCTTTACAAAATATTTATTTGTAATCATCAGAAAATCTTTTTAAGCTACAATGATACCGGATGGACTGCTGTTCCGGCCATTGCGGAGGCTTGTTGGTAAAATGTACAAAATTACACAACACACTAGTAGGCAGCCTTTGAGATGGTGACTTGAAAAAATGTTTCGGAATATATAAACACTTGAAATTTTGACTTAAAATGCTGGTTAAAAATGGCAAAGCTCATTACATGTACTAATTTAAAACAGAGTGTGAAATTTAATATTTTTTATTACTGTCTTAGAAACAATACGGAGAAGGAGATATAGAGTTTGGTTTTGGTATAAATATATATTGCTTCACAGTTTGGTTTTTTTTCTGTTTCTATTATCACACTTATTATTGACATTTACACATTTTCTGATATTAAAATTGTTGCATATTATTATATATATCCCCAAAAGTTACTAGAAATATCCCTAAAGGTTGTGTACAAAATGGAAAAATAATACCCTAGTAAGGATAGACCTTTCAATATTAGTAAATCAAAAATTGTCTACTATTTTTTAACATTTTTTTTAAAGAGCATGTTAGCATATAAGAGTCTAGCATATTTTGTTGCATTAAATCATATATCTATACACAACGCATATATTGTTATATTAAAACATATTTTCTAAAGAAGGCAATATTTTAAAAATATATTTTACACAAGTCATATATATGTTGTATGAAAGATAGCACTTTCTACACAAGGAACATTTTGTTATTTTAAAACACGCATTTTCTGCAGAACGCTTATTTTGTTATACTAAAGCTCGTACTTTCTTCACGAGGCATATTTTGTTATGTTAAACATTTTCTGCACAAGACAATGAATTCGCCACGGAACACAATATTATGTCCTACCTTTTCTGGGGATTATGCAAAAAATTGTCGACACCGTTAATGAATACTCCTTTACTATTTGCTCTTCATTATATATACCTATGGTTACTTGTTATCGTCCCATCCACAATATAATAATATAATAATAAGATGTGAGACAGATGTAAAAATATTCTGTTCAAATCAAGTTCTTTGATAATGAAGATGACGACGACGACGATGATGATGATAATGATGATGATGATTTTTATTATTATTATTATTATTATTATTATTATTATTATTATTATTATTATTATTATTATTATTATTATTATTATTATTATTATTGTTGTTGTTGTTGTTGTTGTTGTTATTATTATTATTATTAATTTTATTGACAATAATAATACTAATAATAATAATAATAATAATAATAATAATAATAATAATAATAATAATAACAATAACAATAATAATAATAATAATAATAATAATAATAATAATAATAATAATAATAATAATAATAATAATAATAATAATAATATAATCTCCAGCTTGATCGTGGCGAGATTTTGATACTGTATATTTCTTTGTTCTACTGCTCGTAGAACTACTCTTTGTAAGCCGCGTAATGGAGGTTTACCAGTTCGGTACCTAGAGTGACCATATTGTAACCGTTAGCTTGAATGGTATGAATTGCGGACCCACTGGGGTCGTTAGGATGTGTCAAAGGTCAAATATATAAAAGCACATATAATTACAGCCTTTTTCTCTATTGGTGACCAAACGTTTTACATGCATTCGTGGAAAAATGTTTATAATATTTGAAACGAATTTAGGGTTATGACCCATGTGTCCAGAGTTGTGTTAGTGTGTCAAACATGTAATAAAAAGCGTGGGGAGTTCCTATGGTGAGACATGGTAGCAACTGTAGGTTTTCTTCTTCTAATTCGTTTTCCTCCTCTTCTCATTATTAATATTGTTGTTATTAGTAGTAGTAGTAGTTGAAGTAGTAGTAGTAGTAGTAGTAGTAGTAGTAGTAGTAGTAGTAGTAGTAGTAGCAGTAGTAGTAGTTGTTGTTGGGCTTGACGCCATTTTCAGTACACAATAGGCTATACATGGCGACCTGTATTAATGGTGGAGGAAGAAACCGGGAAATTCTCGGAAAGAACCACCAACCCACGAGAAGCTAAGCTTTCTCACCCATCCACATTCGCCGAATCTTAGACTCGAACATCCGCAGACAGAGGTGAGATGGCAGTGATCTGTAACGGAGAGCGCTTTTGACCACTCGGTCACTCGGGGCCCAGTAGTAGTAGTAGTAGTAGTAGTAGTAGTAGTAGTAGTAGTAGTAGTAGTAGTAGTAGTAGTAGTAGTAGTAGTAGTGAGACAATGCTGACATTATCAGCAGATGGCAGTGATCTGTAACGGAGAGCGCTTTTGACCACTCGGCCACTCGGGGCAGGCACAGTAGTAGAAGTAGTAGTAGTGGTAGTAGTAGTAGTAGTAGTAGTAGTAGTAGTAGTAGTAGTAGTAGTAGTAGTAGTAGTAGCGAGACAATGCTGACATTATCAGGGGTGGGGAGGAGAAAGGTGCAAAGTCAAAAACATGTTTCATTCGTTTTCTGCAGCGACTTTTTGAGATTACATTTTTTCTCCTATACTTTAAGGGTTCAACGTACAGAATGAGAGCGATATTAAAACTTTAGACGACTACCTCGATTTCTTTGATCCTGCCGCACAGAAAATATCTTCAAATATGTCCGCCAAGCACGACATTATTGCAGGTATATCAAATGTGGATTTGGAGTTATTTAACAAGATGATGAAATTGCCTTATTAGTGGACAAGTATGCGATTAATAATACAAATTTTCATTTTATTTTATTTATTGGATTTGACTCATACTGGTATTCTTTCCCGACTATAATGGTGCTAAATGATGTAATATATGTGTTGTACACAAATGATCTGGTCAATGCTTTATGAAAAGACCATATATGTTTCTTTGTTTTGTTTAAAGGGTACGAAAAGCCATTGTTTTATTTGTTTTATATACCTGTCCTCAAACCAGGCAGATGCTCATTTATATACGAATTAAGAATGCTCGTCACAAAAAGACAATACTGCAAATTAGGGATTGGAAACCATCATTTCTGATGAAGGTAAATCATTTTTGAGAGAATTCTTTTATCGTTAGAAACAAACATTAAAAAGTTTGAGCAGCAGAATGACTGGATAAAAATTACAAACATACAAACGTAAATACAACAAGAATTAACATAAATGTTTGTAATATTTGAACATTAGAATTGGATTCTGTGGGTTTGATTCACCATAGGATTGTGTTAATACATATTTCTTCCTGACGTTTTTGTGTTTGTAATTGTCCTTTGTTCGTGTCTTCTGCCTTCAACAAGAAATCAGTCCAGGTCGAAAGCGATTGGCCATTTTGTCTAACATACCGTACCGATGTTGGTTATATTCGGTTGCTGTGTAACTATAATTATAAAAAATTATATATATATAACTATAATTTTATAATAATAATAAAAAATAATAATAATAATTATTATTATTATTATTATTATTATTATTATTATTATTATTATTATTATTATTATTATTATTCCTCATTTTCTTCTTCTTCTTTAATAATAATAATAATAATAATAATAATAATAATAATAATAATAATAATAATAATAATAATAATAATAATAATAACAATAATAATAATAATAATAATAATAACAATAATAATAATAATAATAATAATAATAATAATAATAATAATAATAAAAGTAGTAGTAGTAGTAGTAGTAGTAGTAGTAGTAGTAGTAGTAGTAGTGGTAGTGGTAGTAGTAGTAGTAGTAGTAGTAGTTTTAACCGCTCCGGTGGGTTAGTGGTTATAGAGCCGCCTTGGATGCGAGACGTCGTGGGTTCTTAATAATAATAATAATAATAATAATAATAATAATAATAATAATAATAATAATAATAATAATAATAATAATAATAGTAGTAGTAGTAGTAGTAGTAGTAGTAGTAGTAGTAGTAGTAGTAGCAGTAGTAGTAGTAGTAGTAGTATTAACCGCTCCGGTGGCCTAGTGGTTATAGCGCCGCCTCGGATGCGAGACGTGGTGGGTTCGATCCCCGGTCGAGTCATAACAAAGACTTACAAAATTGGTACTAACAGCTGCCTCGCTTGACGCTCAGCATTAAGATGTTAGTGTTAGGACTGATTTGCCTGGTGTCAGGATAATGTGACTGGGTGGGACATCAAGCTACATATCTGCGGCATTATGCCCAGTGCTAGACATCACTATAAACTGCCACACTGCAGACATCGTAGCGACATGACTGAAAATTTGTTAAAAGCTACGTTAAAAATTATAAACACCCAACACCCATTATTATTATTATTATTATTATTATTATTATTATTATTATTATTATTATTATTATTATTATTGTTGTTGTTGTTGTTGTTGTTGTTGTTGTTGTTGTTGTTAGTAGCATATGTCTTTATCTACAGGAGACGCGACAGCTTTCACTTTCTGGGATTTCATTGGCTGGCCTAAGATACCACAGAATAAAGGTTTCCATGAGCCGAAATATGTCACGCCTCATCTGATCCGACATATTAATCCGAACGTCAAGCTCATCGTCATATTTCGTGATCCTCTAGACCGGTAATCTGTTTATTTGTCTCTGTCTATTTATCTCTTATCACAGAATATGTCAAACAATTTTTTTTTACTATATCCCTAAAATATGACACAAAGCCGTTTATTAACAAGGTTTTGTATATATAAGGATTATGGGCTTTGTATAATTATAAGCGTTTCGAATCGTAGACTAAGAGAGTGTATGGCCATAGAACACAATTAATTTTACTATATTCTCTCTACATTTGTTTCTCCGTACTGAACTTTCCACTGTGTGACAATCAATAAAATCATATTTTAATCTAAAACACATTCAAAGATGACTTACGGTTTAGTTCTTGTCAAGGGTTGACCTGCATTTTTTTGAGAGGCTGAATTGTAAACAAAACACCAGGCAACGGAACACAGATTTCACTTCCGGATCATCACCATGATCTTATTTCTCAATGTGCACTGTCGCCGAAATACACACAGACAACCACACCATAAGCTCACATTTTAAAGAATAAACAATTAAATCCTTACCAAGAATGCCAAAATCTAACTCTAGTGTCACCACCAATTTCAGACAGGAAAAAGTGATCTAAAAATAGACAGGGACTACATTCGTGGGTACTGAACCGGATTTTATTAATTGTGTACTGATTCCTTATGGGATGGCTTGTTCCATTGACTTGTTAGCCCATTTATTGCCACTATTCCACCTAAATTCTTCTTTAATTGCTATGAGGATTGTAGTAAAACTTAACACTCGCTTTTATTTAAATGTCTAGTTGCTATTACAAATAGTGATATGTTCTAACAGACAATATTGCCGATACAGCGAAACTCTCTAAAGTATCTTATATCTCTTCTCCGATAGAAGCCGTTGTCATATTAGCATGTTATTTTTTACTGAGAGACCAATTTGAGATGATTCAAGAAAAAACTTTCATTTAGATTGCAGTCTTAAAGAATTGAGTGCTGACCAGTTTCTTCACAGATAACGTGCCAAAGGTGCGCTGTCTTCAAACGCAGCAACATTTACAAGAACTTATAGTTTTGGGGTAGCGGTGTATCCGAACCACATCGTCTTAGGTCAATTCTTTCCAATCAGTGGCATCTTGGATGTTCAGATGACTTTCCATAATGTTTGCGTATATAATTCTATTCATAATTATTTTACTAAGTTTATCCAACACTTGGATACTAGTGCTCTAAATAACCCGGATAATAATCATATCACTTATGACCTATACAGTCTCTCCTCACCATTGAAACTCGGTTTAGCTTCGACACTTTTCTCTAACTCCACACGAAGAGTCTTTGTGCTGTAAGTGCTGCTTATGAGTACAAACGAGAAAGGTACTGAGTCATGTTCCAATTGAAAGACGGTTAGAAGATCTACTTCACGTTTCATTGCAACGGCAAGTATACAAGTCTGCAAGAATCTATTAGCATTCAATACATTTAGCTTGGTGATCTTTGTGTCCTTTTTCAGCTGCAGCTGAAAGGTAGCCAGTGGTCCTTTTATGCGTTTCAGTGTGTGAATCAATAAAAGAATTATGGTAGCCATGAGCCGCATTTCACACATGTAACCATTCAAGCCTTGCCGGTAGAAGTGATATTGTGCATTTACTGTTTGTCTTTTCTTTTGCTAATTGTGCATCAGTCAGTGTTCATAACATCAAGTTCTTTATCAATAAAAGAATCTGCCATTTACACAATACTAGTTTAAATGATAGTTTGGACACAACATTCATCTCTCTGTTGATATTTGGTACTAGCTTCTTTATGGACCTGATACCAGTGCGAGCTTACTTTACTGCAAACAGTGGATGAATACATATGAACCTGATACAAGAGCGAGCGGACTGTACTGCACACAGCGGATGAACACATATGAAACTGATAATAATGCGATCTGACTGTACTGCAAACAGTGGATGAACACACATGAACCTGATACAAAGAGCGATCTGACTGTACTGCAAACAGTGGATGAACACATGAAACTGATAATAGTGCGATCTGACTGTACTGCAAACAGTGGAAGAACACATATGAACCTGATACCAGTGCGAGCTGACTGTATTGCAAACAGTGGATGAACACATATGAACCTGATACCAGTGCGAGATGACTGTATTGCAAACAGTGGATGAACACATATGAACCTGATACCAGTGCGAGATGACTGAACTGCTAACAGTGGATGCACACCTATGGATGCATGCACATCGATGGTCAGGAAAATCATTATCAAGCCACCAATGTTTTTTTCTCTATTTTCACATTAATTCAATTCCATCTCGGGCGACATTTAAGATAAACCTTTCTCTGCTTGCTCGTCAGCATGGTGGATTTATGCCACGAGGCAAAATTCATTCGGTATAAAGCAAATAAATCTACGGTCATTTAATAGTTAGCTGACAGTTGCATTTCTGTCTTCCTCTACCTTTGGATGGTGGATATATTATGAATCTATTACAAACGGATACCATAAGGAAACCAGAATCGAATATCGCCCATTGTTTCCTGACTCAGTCAACAATTAACCACTGTTAAGAAAAGTCTTAACAACATCAACAGTAATGTAATGTCATTCTCACATACATTCAATATATTTTTCAATCATGCCTTGTGTGTTTCGGTGCATTTGTCTTATTGAAAGTGCTACAAAATACTATTATTTTTGTTATAATGCCATGTTGATCCCTTGTCTACATTTTGAACTTCACTTTTCTCTGTTGTATAAGTAACACTGCAAGTCAGCTATAAAGAGCAAGCTTTTAAAATAATTTTGAGAAAGTCTTCAAATCTGCCTCGAACAAATAACGAATGATAGCCAAAGACAAAATATTTGGCGAGTCACCAGAGAGACTAACTACACAAAAGTCAGATAATCAACATAATTGAACATAAAGAACAAACACGTTCAAACAGTTAAAGTCATTACAAAAAGGCAAGAACACACAGCAATAAACAAAGGGAAAAATGATACAAATTTCACGAAATTCAACACTATTATTTTACAGGCGGCGGTATGACTGTTGTAGGTATCTTGTTCATTTGGTAAAAAAAACTTAAAGTTGTTTCTAAAAATAGAATTGCAGCTGTGAAATATATTGAAACAAACACTACACAAATTGATCAAATTACAGCACCAAGATAAAATCACTCTTTTTTCTTACAATTCAGTATCAGAAGTGCTTTAACAATTTAGCTAATAAACAGCAGGGAATGTACCCGCAAAATAATGTCAAGTGTAAAAGAAAACATTATAAAGATTATTATGCGATATTAAACTCCCTTCTGCTGTTGCAAGGAGCATGATTTTGAAATTGCTACTGAGTTTTAAAATGTTCCATAGATATATTGACGAATTTGTAGATCATAGTTACCCAGTTTAATTAGGACAGTTCGCGATAGGCGACCTAACAGAACAAACACTTCTAGAACAAATTATTGCATTCTGGATTTGACTACAAAGACAAACTAAAAGGTTAAAATCAAAAAGATAAAAGATTTTAATTGGGTATAATGCAGCATCTCAACAATTTCAGGTTCAGTGATCTCAGCAATAGCAACAAGCGGCGTAGTTGTTCCTTTTTTGAGTTTGGGATGGAATTATGCAGCTTTTATAGGATTTATTGCAAACGCTTATAAAGAAAAAAATGATATACAAATAATTTCTACTGTCAATCAAGTAGAATGGCGTCCACCATCAATAAATTGAATAGTGTATATCATCCGTCAGACGAATAGTGTCTACGAATCAATCAGTTGAATGGTGTCTACTTATCAATCAGTTGAATAGTGTCAATCCATCAATCAGTTGAGTAGTGTCTACAAATCAATCAGTTGAATATTGTCTACGCATCACTCAGTTGAATAGTGTCTACACATCAATCAGTTGAATAGTGTCTAAGCATCAATCAGCTGAATTGAGTCTACGCATCAATAAGTTGAATAGTGTCCACGCATTATTCAGTTGAATGGTGTCTACGCATAAATCAGTTGAGTAGTGTCAACGCATCAACCAGTTGAATAGTGTTTACGCATCAATCAGTTGAATAATCTAAACATTAATCAGTTGAATAGTGTCTAGGCATCAATCAGTTGAATAGTTTCTAGGCATCAATCAGTTGAATAGTGTTTAGGCATCAATCAGTAAATAGTGTCTACGCTTCAATCGTTGAATAGTGTCTACGCATCAATCAGTTGAATAATGTCTACACATAAATCAGTTGATTAGCGTCTACGCATCAATCAATTGAATAGTGTCTACGCATCAATCAGTTGAATAGTGTCTACGCATCAATAAGTTGAATAGTGTCTACACATCGATCAGTTGAATAGTGTCTAAGCAACAATCAGTTGAATAGTTCCTACGCATCAAAATGTTGAATAGTGTCTACGCATCAATCAGTTGAATAGTGTCTACGCATCAATCAGTTGAATAGTTCCTACGCATCAAAAAGTTGAATAGTGTCTACGCATCAATCAGTTGAATAG